TCCATGAGCGTTTCTGATGGAAAATCAGGGACTATTGGGAGAAAAGGCCTTTGACGGCTTGGAAGCTGGGTCTCTCTTGAACCTTGAACCACCAGTACCTCTTGGGAAGAAGCTACACTTGGAATGTGAGGTTTTCAACAGGAAGTCCCATATAGCAAACTCGCTGATACATAAGAACAGAAGTACGTTGGGAACAAGTTTAAGGTCCTGCGAACAACTGACCGCATTATCCCTTGTGCGAACGTTTACAGTGCCATGTTCAACTTCTTTTTGTCCAACTACGAGAATAAAATTGAATTGAGCTAATTGTGCATTTCGAATCTGCTTATTCAAAGTATCTGGGCAACCTTCATCGAATTCAACCTGAACAATTAAAATTCAATACTACACTTAACAAAAAGCGTGACTGGAGCAAATCAAATTAGGCAAGACGAGAGGACTAAATTACCTCAAAACCTGCATTGTACAGCTTCTTCTTTCACCTGTCTTGCGTACGGATTCACCGATTCATGCACAGTTATGACTTTAGCCTGAATCCCAACCATTTCCTTGTATTACTTCTGAAGGCCTTCAGGACATCAAAGGAAACTAACCTGTCGAGGAGACAGCCAAAATGGCCATTTTCCACCATAGTTCTCAGTCAGAATAGCTGCCATTCTCTCGACAGATCCCAACACAGCGCGATGAATCATTACAGGTCGCTGCTTCTCACCTTTTTCACTGAAAGCAAGGTTCACAAACATTTTTGAGCCGACATTAGGAACAGCCGTGCCCAGCGCTCAGAGTAGAAAAATCGAAAAAGTCGACAGACAGACCAGTTCTATGGTTTGGAGGAGACGTGGCGACACTAGACTACGCCTGCTTCGGCCAGGCTCCTTTAGGTCAATTAGAAGTAGAAAAAAACAAAATATTGGAAAAGGAAAACATTCCAAAGCACAGATGATCCGTTTCGCCTGTTCCCTTAGATCGCAGTCGGGAAAAGGTGACACCATCTCCGTGAGATGGAGCGGACTCAGAAGCGCCACGCTACATCTCTCGCATTCCAGCCTTGCGTAGAGGACCAGGAACTTATGAAGGGCAAGTGGTCGACTCCTTCCATTTCCATATAGCCCACATAAAAGCAGTGAAGGAGAAAACTTAACCGTTGACCAATCTTTTGGTGGTGCGATGCGCACGCACAATGACTCGCGAGGGCCAGCAGATGTACAAGTCAGTTTTCATTCTTCCAGTGGATCTGGTACCAATTTACCGTCCTCGCGGATAGAAGGATTTCTAGGCCTGGCTGGGAGTCGATCCGGGGTTTGATCCCCGGACAGCTCGCGTGGTAAGCGTGCTTTTCTACTGCACCGCCATAGACTACTCACATAGAAAAATAAGCAATAAAAAGAATGGCAAAGGAAGTCTTAAAACTGAAATCAAATTAAATTAAAAGTTGCCAATTTCAGGAGGAGGATATGCCCAAAGCTTTAAGGCAGTTGGCACGATAAATCGCTATACAGGTGTAGGATTTGTACAACTGGCTTAACAGAATTCCGTGACCTCGGACAGGCGCTGCGTGAAGCCTTTTCCAAGGAAGGGTACCCCTATAACGCCCTATTGAGCAACAACTTTACGTCCCAAACGCCTTCCTTGCCCGCCCGCCCACAAACGGACGACCGTTTCTGACGCTCGTATTCATTCATTTGCTAGCAAATTATGAAGCAAGGGATTGGTATGAAGCGGCCGTGATGCTGCATGCATATATGGGTACACATATGCAGCCGTACCTTCGGTAGCGGTGATTGGCAAGATGCGTATGGGAAACTCGTCCGAAATCGATTTACAAGTCACTGAGAACGGAGGCTTTTTCTTCGCCGGATTTTGACCGTTTCACTCCGTTCTTTCGCCATTTCCCCACTATACAGCGCCCTACTAGCATTTTAGGCCAAGTAGGAAACCGCATGCGTGCCACTGCCTTTAATCTTAACTTACAACTCAATAATGAAGAAGGAAGAGTACACCACAGAAACGTACTCAAAGTAACTCAAGTCGAATCGCTGAGGCAATTGGAAATCGAGCTGAATCGTTGCGCACTGATGATTACGTCTTAATGCATCTTGAATACTGATATCGATCTGAAACGAAACATAGTGAGCTGAAAAAGTAATGGCAGAGATCTATAGGTGACACCATACTTTAGGTCCATAAAAGGCGCCATCTCCTTCATTCAATTTCCAAGGCCTTCCACTCTCGTTTAATGCAGCTTTGAGATCACTCTCAGCTTCGTCCCATGTCTGCAATTGAAAGACACAAATAATCCTAAAGTCCTACTTCAAGGGCAGAAGAAAACTAATGATAGACTCACCGACAGCTCTCCGAGGAAACCTTCAGGACGTGTTGCAAGATTTAGTTTGAAAGTGAACCCGAATACTTTTTCATAGCAGAAGGACAAGAAGTCCAGACAACCCTGCAATGAATTTTTTATTATCTTTAAAAAAGACTAAGACTGGGCAGAAATCCTATCTGGGAACAAGTGGAATCGTCTTATTAAAATGTTGTCAACGTTTATTCAACGATCTTATCTTTCACGAAACAAGACATGGCAACATATTCCATGACATTCCAACATCTTGGATGTCAACTTAATAAAAATAGTTGCCTAACGGTGGCGCTCGTTACCAGGTTCGTAGTGCTTGGACAGCACAATACGAAGAATGTTGCAATATTAGATAGTTAGCAGCGTACTCCCCACTTAAAACCTTAAGCTGGTCGACACGGACGCGGGATAATGTTTTCTCTCAGCTGAAAGAAGCAAAAGGGCAGAGGTCCCATGACGAAAGAGGCACAGGTTGTCACACAACGTCCGCGCGCGCTTTCGTCTCTTTCTCCCAAGCATTACAGAAGAATAAGGAAGGAAAGGTTATGTAGTGACAAGTGATACGCTTACCACGCGCGCGGTATGGGCTCAAGTCCTGGATCGCATGTATCAACCAAGACTTCTACTTAACGAACGATAAAGTGGCACCTTTTCGACTGGGAGGATAACAAAACCCCCTAAAGAATGACCTATAGGCCATTTGAAATGCCACCACAACTCTGAATGGAAGCAGACTGTGTGCCGCATCCCAAAATGGAAAAGGTCAACGAGAGCTTCATAACTTTTTATCACAGAAGAATATTCTGTTGTACTGCCAGGCAACACGAAAGGGTCTGCATAACGACTGGGTGCTAAATCGTGCCTCCAGGGGCATATATTGTGATTGCAAATCGTGTCAGCAGGATTCAAATGCAACTTTTTAAGTGCTAAATGATATACTGGAAGATGGAGAACGAGTGTCCTTTCCAAAACGCCCCAAAAAGAGCCGGCTTGATTTTTAGCGCATTGGAAACGGGCAGGAAGAGCACGTGCCATGAACAAGAGACGCAGGGAACGCTTGAGCGACTGAACGACAACCCCGTAGCATAGAAACTAGCCGGCACGTATGAAGGTAGACAGCAGTGAAAGCTTGGGGGAATACTGCTCGACTGGGGCCAAAACTGAAGAACGAGAGTTAGAGTCATAAGCTCTGAACCCAGCAGCAGTTACCATCCTTTCTCTTGGCCAATAGTCTCTAAGCTTTGCAGAGCTGATCCTCACAATAAGGAAATATACCCAGCACCCACTGTGCAAAGCATCTTTATGGCAAGAAAAGGAGAACTAAAAATTAAGACCGAAAAACGAAACGTCTTGGCCATTGATCAATCCCCTTCTGAGATGAGGCAGCATTCTACTGCCGTTCAGAATGGTAGTGGCTTATTGAGTGCGAAGAAATGACTTGCGGGGTCAGCCGATGTAAGAGTCACATCTTTTATCCTCCCAAACGGATCCGGTATCAACTTATCGGAGGATAGAGGGCTCGGCTTGCACGGAAGAGAGTCCTCCAGATATTTGATCCCCAGATGGCGCAATAAGCGTACCACATGTTACCCCAGCATGCACCTCCACTTCAATTAAAATGACTGAATACAAAAAAATTAGGGAAACTACCTTAATTTCGTCCCAAATTTGATCTTTACGACAGAAGATGTGAGCATCATCTTGTTGGAAACGTCGCACACGAATCAGTCCAGTTAGAGCGCCAGACATCTCGTTCCTGAAAAGGTCAGTTTACAGAATACTGGAAATCAAAGGATGCCAACACGCTCTAAGACAAACAGATTAAAAATACACAGAGCCCTTGTTATTTTTTTACTGTTTCTTTAACATAAAATGTATTGAACTTACCTATGCAACACACCAAAATCAGCGTATCTGATTGGGTAGCTCGTTATGGGTGCGTGGCTGATGGCTGTACATCAGACAATGTCCAGGACAATTCATGGGCTTCAACCCAAACTGCTCCTTTTCGACTTCGAACCTGCACTTAGGGAAAATTATTGTTAAACTTCAACTCAGCAGAGATGAAAATACAAAATATCTACCTGAACATATCATCTGCGTAGTGTTGCCAGTGCCCTGATGTTTCCCATAGTTTGCTGTTGTACATATTTGGTGTGATAACCTGAAAGAACCCTAGTCAAATTGATAAACTTTCAATACCACAGGAAAACATACCTCAGTGAAGCCACGTTTTCTATACTCTTTCCGAATGAAATTCACCAAAGTGTTGTAAATGTGAGCACCTTTTGGATACCAAAAGGCAGATCCAGGCGACAGAGGGTTGAAAAAGAACAGCTCCTGGTCTCGTCCAAGCTTACGATGGTCGCGTTTAGCTGCTTCCTCCTTCAAAAAATTGAATTATTCAATGAAAACCAGAAGAACTTTCGCATGACAACCTGGAACTTCTGCCACTCTTTGAGTTGCTTCGGATCAGGGAACGAGATTCCATAAACTCGCTGCAAGCTCTCAGCATCTGCTTTTCCTTCCCAATATGACGCCGACGCTTTGGTGATTTGCATAGCCTTCAAAGAGAGAATTCTCTGCACTGGATAAAAAAGGATCAAACCGCAATCAAGTGTGGGGCAACTAATTACCTTGATTTTTCCTGTGTGTCGCACATGCGGGCCACGGCAAAGATCGATCAGGGGACCACAGCGGTATACAGTTGTTTTCGGGGTATTAATTTTCTCTTTGATAATGCGCACCTGAAATCAAGTTCTCAGAGTGAAACACATAGCTTTCATATGCACTCATGATCTCTGAAACGATGGTCATATGAGGCGTCGGAAAGCGTGACCTTTTCCACTAATGACGTAATCCTTAGCCAGCAAGAATGTTAGGAAAGACTGCACTGGATCGCTCTGAACCACGCCCCTTTGAACACCCTCGCATTTAAGAGGATCATTACTGTATTTACAAATGCAAACCAAACCGAGTCGCCGGTACGTGACACGTCGCCGGTACGCCGTCTTTGAAACAACTGCGCATCCACGCCCTCCCCTGCTCCAAACAGGGCCTGTATTTCTACCTACACAAATCGCGTGAAGTAGATTGGGAGCTATGCGGCCGTGTAGTCTACACCCTCATCTTGCAACTTTGAACAAAACGTAAACGCGGTAACCGTACCTTAAACTCATTATACTTGAACATCTCCAAGAGATCTTCTTTCGTCATTTCCAAACGCTCAAACGGCTGTTTATCCTGTAAATCGGGGCTTCAGGAACGATAAAAAATGGCCGAATACAAAAGGAACTAGAGGGCGCAGATGTAGGAAAGAATGCGGTACAGTATTTTACTTTTTAAGAAAGACTGACTGACGACTGACGTCACTTAATGCGACTGTCATTGACGTTAATGACGT